GAAAGATAGAAGAGCATTATGTAAACGAACCTGCAAGAAAAGAACAAAATTTAAATATAAAAAAATAGAAGAGAAAACCACGATGAAGCAAAGTTATAAAGAAAAAACAGAGAGGTAATGATTTGGTTAAGTGTTATTATAAAAGAAAAGAGAATGAATTTATATATAAGCATCAATGTAGATCATATCGTTAGATTAGGGTTTATCAATCAATAATTTAATTTAATACTTCTTGCTTTCGAAGCTAAAATATGAAACCTAATTGATGAATCAGTGAACCACAACCCTTGAGACTCTCCCACAAAAACAAAACAAAGCAAAAAAATTTAAAGAAGATAATTTTTCCAGAGAAACAAATTACAACTTAATCGAAAGAAAAAAAATTATGGAAGAACCTGCACCTATATTGTGACACGATGAACTTTTTGCAAGAAAACTATAGAAAAAAAATAATCATCATGAACCTGTTGGAAGAAGATGATGGACAATATATATTATGATCAATGAAAAAATAATTAAAAAAATGCAAGAATATATTGTGACCAAATCCTAAAACACATATATATACACAATAAGAAGTATGAAACGGAAAAAAAATATGAAACGAAAAAAAAAAATATGAAACGAAACATAGTGAGAAACAAAAACGATGGTGATATATTTATGAGCCACGTTTTTAGCATATGGGATCAGTTTTAATATTTGGTAGCACACAGAATAATTAAAGCCCACACAAAAAAAAATTCAATCAAACTCATCTATTCTTATATAAGAAAAATCATGGCCCATTAATAGTGATGACATGGATATGTCATTTTAAGATTCACTAAGGGTATTTTCGGTAGACCAAGTCTTAAACTCAGCGTAGAGCCGCCACATAGGATTTGCGACTTCTTATTTATAAGTATAGATGTCAAATGGAAGAGACATAACCAATAGATGTTGTATTATGTGTTAGGTGTTTTAGAGACTGGAGAAATTTCAAAAAATGCCACTTTTCAAATACCACTTTACAAAAATGTCACACTTTTGACATCTTTACAAAAATGCCACTTTTTTCAAAATTATTTTTTCTTTATATTATTTATGTTTGGGTTAACTATGTTCTATTAGAGTTTAGTTATGAGGGTTTAGGGGGTTTAGAGATCAAAACATTTTTTAGTGTTTAGAATTTTAAGATATATGGTTTAAAAATCTATAATTAGTGGCATTTTTGTAAAGATGTCAAAAGTGTGACATTTTTGCAAATGTGCACGTAAAAAGTGGCATTTTTGCAATTTTCCCGATAGACTGGTGGTTGAATATTGTTTTTCCTGTTTCATAGGGATGCATTGCTTCTAAGAACAGCTGCTTCCAATTATACATGATTTTCATAATGCAAGTTATTACATAAACAACACAAAAACCATACATTAAAGACAGATAAAATGATGTAACGATAAAAGTGAATTTACACGATGTTTTTCTTAATAGATCTCACTATGATGTAAACTTTGGAACTGCTAACATCTCCTGGGCGAAACTCTAAATCACACATTGTATGATAAAACTCAATGCTTTTGTGAATAATCATGTTTTACACAATTTTATACCAAACATTTCGTATGAGAGTTACCATTAATTATCAAAGAATGATCTTGTCAGAACGATGGTTTCTTCTCGTACATGATGCCATTTCAAGAGATAATATTCCAGAATGTCATACATATTAGACGGATTTAGACACATTCACCAGCGATATTAATAACAAACCCACATGAGAATCTAGAAAAACACCGGATATCAAGCCATCTCCTAGAAAATAACTATCTTCTATGAAAGAAGAAACAACTACGAAATCGAACCGACTGAAAATTAATGAAAAAGTGATAGGAAGGAAAAACCTAGAATGATGGTCCAAATTTTGGTGAAAATCACCGAGTAATTGGCTTTACCTCTTATACTTCAAGATAAATACCGAAGACCAGTGAGAATCCCTCCCGCAGAAGGAGAAGGAACAAATAAAAACACATAAAAGCTAATCTTATTATATAAAATTTGATGCGTCAAACGTAATAATTAACAAGATCGTGTCATCTAATTGATTAGATTTCGACACGTATTAAAAAAATCCAATTCGAATCTGCCACATGTCAAAAAACTTATTTATTTGTATTTATCAGTTATATATTTTAAATTTAAATAGAAATAGATAAAACAATAAATCAAATACTTTTTCCTACTTGGATATTATAATATTCATGTAACTTTTTTTTGAGTTTGAATAGTTTTAAGTTTAAATATCCAAATTTTCACATTTATTTACATACTTTTGTACTCTTAAAACTTCAATAATATTTTTCATCAAACTTATTATTATTTTTTTTTAATCAGAAAAGATCGATTATTATATTTTTCGATATGTGAAATAGAATCGACAATATATATTATTATTTTGAGCTTAATATGATTCATTTTAACTCGATTTTTTATTTGTTGTTTACAACATTGATATAAAGTGTAATAATTTATTTTTTCACTTTCTGTATGGTTTTCTTTCTTACGTTTAATAATTATTAAAATAGTAAAAGTAATTTATTTTACAAATTCGGATTTTTATACAAGGTAATTAATCTTATCGAGGTATGTTTAAGTTAATCGGTTAAATTTATACAAGTATAAAATATATTTTAATTAGATTTAGCCACATTTCAAAAAAATTTATCTATTTAAAATAATAACTTGATTTGGTAAATAGTAAAATGTAATCCTACTTTAAAAATGAATAGAAATATTTAACTATTTAAATATATGTGATATAATTTAGTTGAACAAAATAAAAACTTATTTATTTGTATTTATCAATTAGATATTTTAATTTTAATGGAACTAGATAAAACAATAAATCAAATATCTTTTCCTACTTGGATATTATAATATTCATATAACTTTTTTCTTGAGTTTGAATAGATTTAAGTTTAAATATCCAAATTTTCACATTTATTCACATATTTTTTTGCACTTAAAACTTCAATAATATTTTTCATAAAACTTATTTTTTTTGGTTTTTAATCAGAAAAGATCGATTATTATATTTTTCAATATATGCAATAGAATACGAAAATGTTTTTTTTTCTTGAAATTAATATGATTAATTTTAACTCGATTTTTTTTTGTTGACAACATTGATATGAGGTGTAGTAA